CGAGAGTCTCTGAGCTGCACGGATCAGGAAACCAGAACATTCAGACTTTACACTGGAGTGAAAAGAGCTCAGCATAATCATCATCATAAATATAGTAAGAATATTAATCATAATAATAATAATAATAATAAAGGTGTGGAAAAGTTGTTCACAAAATGACACTTTCACGTAATAATCGGTGACGTATCTACAGGTCCTGGATCTGCTCATGCTCACGTCTGAATCTAGGCTCACGTCAAAATCACCAAAACCACCAAAGAAAAAACAAACTCGGAGTAAAACACAAAGAGATAAAGTTTCTTCTTTACATCCAGAAATCGTAAATTAGACATTTTTAGAGCAGAAACACATTGAAAACATATATATACACTTTTAGTAGGGGGACAGTCTTGATTTGCATTGTTGTCGTTGGTGTTTTCTTGCTGCAGAATCATTAAATCCCGTTTTCTTCTTTCAGCTTTTTAAAAATGTGCTCGTCCCTCGGTGGATGGATGAAAATCTGAATATATTAGAAATCTTCGGCTCTTCTCCGCCTCCTGTCGGAGAGTCAGGTCTGTGTAGATTAGAAACAGTTGGGGGCCCCTGGGGGCCGATTTCACATAAAGGGCTTTTCTCTGGCTCGAGTGTCCCTGACCTGCCCGCTGAGGGGCCCGGGGTCCACTGACGGCAGCAGCTTTGCCAACAGTAACGGTCGCTGGTGTGAGTGCCAGTCCTCCGGCCCCTCCCGCTCGTACGGACAGGCGCGGGGGCGGGGGTGAGGGAGGGGCGAGGGGCGGGGACGGGGGACGGGGGGGGGCAGGGGTCTAGAGCAGGGAGCTGGGGCTCTCGGGGGCCAGGGGAGGGGGGTCCGGGGCGGCGCTGTGGTGCAGCGGCAGGAGGTCGTAGTGGCTCTTGAGGTTCTGCAGGGCCCCAGGACGCGGCACCTCGAACGGACTCTGAGAGAATCCAGTGGCCATCCCATTGGGCCCCTGGAGCACGCTGACCGACGGCTCTGACCACAGACACACAACAGACACAACAGACACGCAACAGACACACAACAGACACGCAACACACACACAACAGACACACAACAGACACACGCAACAGACACAACAGACACACACACACAACAGACACACAACACAACACACACAACAGACACACAACACACACACAACAGACACGCAACAGACACAGACACACAACAGACACACAACACACACACAACAGACACACAACAGACACGCAACAGACACGCAACACACACACAACAGACACACAACAGACACACACACACACACGCAACAGACACGCAACAGACACACAACAGACACAACACACACACAACACACACACAACAGACACGCAACAGACACGCAACAGACAACACACACAACACACACAACACACAACACGCAACAGACACGCACACACACACACAACAGACACACAACAGACACGCAACACACACGCAACAGACAACACGCAACAGACACGCAACAGACACACAACACACACACAACACACACACACACACACAACAGACACACAACACACACACAACAGACACACAACAGACACAACAGACACACAACCACAACACAAACACACAACAACAGAAACACAATCAGAATTAGAATCATAATCATTGTATCATTGTTTAGACTCTATGTGTTTGATGGAGACACTGCAGCTCTGTCCTGACATCAGACCTCCTCCTCCTGCTCCTCCTGCTCCTCCTCCTCCTCCTCCTCCTGCTCCTCCTCCTCCTCCTCCTCCTGCTCCTCCTCCTCCTGCTCCTCCTCCTCCTGCTCCTCCTCCTCCTCCTCCTCCTCCTGCTCCTCCTCCTCCTGCTCCTCCTCCTCCTCCTCCTGCTCCTCCTCCTGCTCCTCCTGCTCCTCCTCCTGCTCCTCCTGCTCCTCCTCCTCCTCCTGCCTCCTCCTGCTCCTCCTCTCCTCCTGCTCCTCCTCCTCTGCTCCTCCTCCTCTGCTCCTCCTGCTCCTCCTGCTCCTCCTGCTCCTCCTCCTCCTGCCTCCTCCTCCTCCTCCTCCTCCTGCTCCTCCTCCCTCCTGCTCCTCCTCCTGCTCCTCCTCCTGCTCCTGCTCCTCCTCCTGCTCCTCCTGCTCCTCCTGCTCCTCCTCCTGCTCCTCCTCCTGCTCCTCCTGCTCCTCCTGCTCCTCCTGCTCCTCTGCTTCTGCTCAAAACTCGACTGAAGACGAGAGGAGACAGAGGATTTTCTGACTGTGGAACAACCTTCTTCTCCCTGTCAGATCCTCTCAGTCTCAGTCACTAGACAGAAAACTCTCCTCTGAGTCTGTGCTGCGTTTAACTCCAGCTCCTCAGGTTCATCTGGGGTTTTTATTTTCACGTTTTATACATGTTTGTATCTGTATCTGTAACTGTTTTGGTTGACTTTCATGTTCAAGTTGTTTTTAATGTGCTGTAGAAATAAACTTGAATGTAACTGAAAAAAAAACGAATCACAGGAGGTTTCACTGCGGCGTCAGTGATTCTGGTGAAACATCAAACTAAGAATCATAATTTAAATCTTTCTGTTACGTCCAGTTGTTCTAACACTGTTCCCTCGTCACATGTTTGAGTAACTTTTTATTATGAGTCTGTTACATCTACAAAACTCTAAACTCTCTGCCTCAAAAGAGCTGGTGTTAAATGTGCAGGTTTGTCAAACGTGTGAAAGAAACAAAACGACATTAGAAGAAACAGAACAGAGTCACGTTAGAGTAAAACCTCTGCTGGACTCAGACTCTGACTCTGACTTTAGTTCAAACATCAACCCAGAATAATAAAGCCCAGAGCCCGGAGCCCGACTCACCCACTTCATAGAGGGCGCTGGTGGCACTGCCCAGGAGGGTGGCAGTCCCGCCAAAGGGCACCTCTCTGTGGGACGGGGACTTCAGCTCCACGTAGCTGCTCTCCCTGAGGCCGGGGGGGTCCCTGAGGCCGGGGGGGTCCCTGGGGCCCGGCGGGTCCCTGGGGCCGGGCGGGTCCCTGATGGTGGCGTACGGGTTGTCGGAGTTTAAAGAACACGAGCTGTTGTTGCACATCGGGCCTTTTATAAAATCTGTAAAAACACAGAAGAAGAACTGAACTTTAAAACAAAAGTGTCCAGGAGAAGAAAGAGAATTTAAAAGAGTTTCAATAAAGACACTGAACATCTGGAGTCTGGAGAAATATCACACAGAAACACAAAAGTTCCTCACAAAATCAACAGCTTCCATTAAAATAAAAACTCTGACACTGTCCAGTTCTATGAATCTCTGACCAATCAGGTCAAAGGGACATTTGAGCTCAATATTTTTCACATACAAATATTTCTTCATTATAGTAACTAGGAGCCTGAACTATTCTATTCTGGACAAAACTGAAACTTTGAATTTTCTCATTTTTTTCAGTTTCACTCTGGAGAGTTAAAGTGTTTTGTCTTTGCAGAACAGATCAGAGAATCACAAAATAATGTTGCTTTAAAGTTGTTTAAATGTTTAAATGCAGCTGATTCTTCAGGTTAAGATGGATCCTGTTCACTGAAATAGAGATAAGATATTTACCTCGATACATGAGTTTTCTATTCGATACGATTCAGTACGATATATTTCAATTTGATTTGATATGGTTCAATAAAAAGTAAAGTGTAAATCGTGTCTGTGACACTGAAAGTCTTTGTTAAATCACTTCTTCATGTGCAAAGTTCATCTGAAAAACAAATATTCCATATATCCTTCAACTGAACAAAAAAAAAAAAAAAAATATATATATATATATATATATATATATATATATATATATATATATATATATATAAAATACTCTTAAAATATTATATCTTAAAATACTCAGCCCACGATATCCACACTGTATCATCACATTAAACGACACAACATGTCGATATTTTGATATTTTGATATTTTGAGCTGAATCTGATGTAAAGTTGATTTGTGAGATGTTTTTCGTTTTCACGTGACCCAAACATTTGCACCAAATCCCTGTTTTGTTTTTTATCTCTCTTCAGATCATCCGCCTCCTGTAAAATAAAACGACCTGAGCGTCGGCGGTGGAAACGGAAAACTCCAGAATAATGTGAATATAGTTTTATTTTAGTGTAAAGTCGCTGTAAAATCAGCAAACATTTCGGAAGTGTTCCTGATTAAAACCATGTGCTGGAGCTTCACGGCCTCGGGCTGTTGGACCCCGGCGGAGTCGGGTCCTGAAGGACGGAGCTCAGGGAAATCTCCATAAATCTGCACAAAATGGTGTTTCTGTGAGACATGAAAGAGCTCGGAGGAGAAGAAAAGGTTCGCTCGTGTTTCCTTTTGTGTCCGACAGGTGACTAATGGAGGTGTGAAATGATCAGAGGAGGAGGGGGGGGGGGGTCCGGCGCTCGTCTCATCTCCCTGATAAGAGCCTCATTAGAGCGGGCAGCGGACCCCGGCGTGCCCCCTCCGCCCGCCGCCCGCCCGCCGTGTGCCAGGCTAAATGACGGATCTGGCGCGCGGCCACAGAGAGCAATTACTGCTGGAACAGAACCTGGAGCCGGCGCTCTGGTCCAGGGAGCACCACCCTCCACATAAATCACACCAGAACAACCGGACCAAGAGGAAGAACTGTGAGGAAGATCTCCACGCTCAGGGCTAAGAAAAGACTGCACACTGTTTTAAAGTCACACTGCGGAACTTTTCTGGTGGAGATGAGCTTTTTCAGATGGAAACATGAGGCTGAGTCGACCAACTTTTCCTAAAGTATCATATCCTCCTGGGACCCGAAGAAAAAACGTGGTTTGCAGTTTTGTTTTTTTGTGATTTTCTATCTGGAGGTAAATAAACACCTTTGGGTCGGTCCACATGAAATCAGCCGCTCCCCCCATGGGCCATCACAGATTTGGCTGAAAAAAATTCAAAAAATTTCTAAAATCACCAAATGAAAGAATCAAAAAATGTAGCTCAGTCCCTTGAGTCGTTCCTGAGTTATGATTCGTTGAAATTTTGGGGCCTTAATTTATAAACATGTTTGAGACCAGAACTTCTGTTCTATTAAAATAAAGCGAGGAAGCTAAGACAGAAATCTCACACTTTTCTGAGTTTTAATGTGGACGTTTGGAGTCACAGTCCAGGTTTGATCTTTTTGGCCTCTTCTTTGGCCCCTCGGTTCCTCATGTGACACAGTTCGATGTTGATCAAATTTTTACCAGAGAAACTTTGTCACATTCTGATTAGTTAAAAGTAATAAAAACATCGACTATTAACTTCCTTCATTTCAAACTGAATTTTTGAAAATGAGTCTCAGGGGTCAGTTTTGGTGGAGCTCAGGGACTTTTCCACCTGCAGAAAGATTCAATTATCGATTATATATTTGACAACAGGTTCAGAATCTATGACCAAGAATCTACAATAATCCACATCTTCAGCTTCCTCGCTCTATTTTTTATGAAGTTATGGTCTCTGAAACATGATTACAAATTAATCTTCTGGCCATAACTCAGAACGACTCAAGGGATTGAGCTAAAATGTGAGATTCTTTCATTTTGTAATTTTAGAAATAAAAAAAAATAAAATAAATCAGTAAAATCTGTGATGCTCATAGAGGAGATTCCTTGAAAACGGCTGATTTCATACGGACCGACTCCTTAGTGTTTAGATCTTATTCATTTTATTTGTATTTATTATTTTGTACATGTGATGGACACTGGGGACATTTTGGTTTTAAATCCATGTCGAGTCAAAAAACGAACAAAAACAAATGTTCTGATGAGCAACATCTCAGAAGAGCTTCTACAGTCGCCTCAGAACTAGAGACGGGCATTCGATGAAATGTTCTTAATCGATCGTCGGAAGAATTAACGATCGATTATCGATTAATCATGATCGTTTTTATATTAAAATGATCATCATTATTATTACTATCTGCACTAATCTGCAGAAATAAATTCAACTTTACGACATATAAACATAACGACTCTAGATCCACATCAGCTGTTTGACATTATAATGTGTTTAATTCAGTTTTGTTCAAATCTCACAGAAACAAAACTTAAAACCACATCACTAATTTACATAAACTAAGTGAAGATAAAACTCCAGCTCTTGTGTCGCTGATGTGGTTCAACTTGTGTTGGATTAAAAGACATGACTCAGGTGAATACAGGTCAGTGTGACCAGATTTGTGTTTGTCAAAACCAGGACAGCGTACGGGGGGAGGGGGGCGGGGCCTCGTCATCCACATTGAGCGACTCTCACCTGGAAAAACTTTTTCCCACTGGACACAGAAACATATGTGCTGCTTTATCCACTGTGCACATGGACTCACACTTGTCCCAACGCAACGGAAAGTGTGGAATTTCTTCTACAAATCCTGGTTAAATCCACATTTGTGCTTCGGTTCGTTACAGACTGACCCACTGTTTGTGTCTCGCTCCTTCTGATGCAGAGACACATGTACACACCTGTTTGGTCACGACACACAGCAACCTACAGTCGGTTTGTCGATTAAAATTAACGTAATCGATGAAATTCTTAATGATCAATTATCAATTAATCGATTAATCATGCCCATCCCTACTCAGAACGTTTATAGATTTCCTTTTAATTAATTTTTTTTTTCACATCATAGTGCAGCCACAAACTAAGTCCTAGTGAGTAGATTTTTTTGATCCTGGACATGGTCGTTCCCAATAATCCTCCAGTTCTGTTTAGGCAGAAGAACCTCGTCCCCACGTCAAGAGTCTCGCTCAAAACACATAAAAGATCGACTCTGTGTCCAGTACAGACGACACAGACGAACAGTTGGGCTCTCAGGACGATAAAATAACTCAGTCTTTCTGAGTTTCAGTTTGCAATAGTTAAAATATTCAGATGAACTTTGTGTAGATCATGTGGGTTTTACACTTCCTGAAGGAAAAAAACTAAATGTCTAAATTTATGAAAAAATACGACAGGTTCTTCTTCTTGAAAGGTTCTGTTGTGCACAAAATAATTTCTTATGAACTTTAAGCCACGTTATAATAATAATAATAATGTTCCATCATCACAAACAGACCTGGAGGTGTGAGTTTTTTTCTTCACATGTTTAAGTAACAAGTTCCACCTTGTGATGTCACAAAACGAGAGTTTTCAGTAAAACAGTTTTACTTATAGATCAGCAGAGATTGACAAACCAGGACTGAACTGATCCAGGTGATTCTCGTGAAGGTGTGTGGAGTTTAAAAACACAGTGGAGCACTTCCTGTCCTAAATGATCCAGGTTTGTGAGTTAAACGTGTGAATGAAACAAAAAACACACTCAGAGTTTTGTAATTACATGTTTTAAGTTTTGTATCGAGCGACTAAAAGGAAACTTCAGGAGTTCACTTTTAAGAACAACAACAACAACAAAAGTCATTAGAAGTAAAAATCCCAATTATCCAGTGGCTCTACATTTTCAATCCTCCACTCAGAGCAAAGTCAGATTTTTAAAAGTCATGGTCGTCGAGGTGGTTCCTCCAAACATCTCAGGAGGAGACAGATTACAGCGTTAAAGGCCAAACACCACCAGGCCTAACGACGACGAGGATTATTCCATTTTCCTCTGAAACTTTCAAAAGTTTCTTGGCAATTCCTTCGTGGATATTGATGATTTGTCCCGTGGTCCAGTGTGTCACGTCTCCACTCGTCCTGTGTGTCGCTGCTCGTCACATTTACTTTGCTCATGATCAGCTCATCACGGCTTTTATATTTACTGTATTTTTCAGATTATAAATGTGACTTTTGTTGGTGGTTTGTGTGTTTCTGTGACTTATTCTTATATAAGATTTATATTAAATGTTTTTGGTGAAGTGTGGAGAGGTTCTAGTCTTGTGTGTGAGGATCTGCTGCTCCTGTTCCTCCTGCACCACTGTCACTTCACTCTACTGTGCATGTCTCCTGCAGAAAGAGCCTCTGTTCTGTCTGTATCATGTCAGTCGATCGCACCGTTACTTCTGCACCACTCAACTATTTAAAACAGAAATGGAGCAGCAGAAAGAAAGTTTGAAGTGAGAGAGAAACTTGTGACACTGGGAGGATGAACCATGAAACTTTCCTGAAGTCACTGGACGATGGACAAAGTCTGGACTTCAGTGACACTGAAACCATCCTGTCGGGATTCAGAAAGACCCAATAATTCTAACTGGAACTAGGAATGTAACAATAACTGAAAAATCATGATATCGTATCATCAAAAGTCTCACAATATATCGAATTACAAGTTCCTTTGTTTAAATTCATAGTTTTATAGAAGGAACAGTTTATAAACATCAGGAACTACATTTCCCATGATTCATTTCAGCTCAGACAACATGAAGAAACATGTTTTTACTTGAATTCTTGGGATTATGATGGAAATAATTCACACCAAAATCTTGTCAAGGTATTTGAAAAGTAAAAAAGTTAAATCAGCCTCTTCTAAATATCGTAATTATTGAATGGTGAGATTTGGATATAACGGAAACTGAGTCTGAGTCTGACGACAGCGACACAGAAGAGTTTGCGTCGCTCTGTTTCCCTCCGGAGGTCGAGGTCGAGTTGTTCAGAAGCGACACGAGGATGAAGAACTGAAGTGATTTAGTGATTTGGAGGGAAACAGAGAGTTTGTTCAACTTGTTCTGTTGTTTATAGTTTATCTGAAGAACTGTCAAATGTACAGTGTCGGGGAGTAACAGATTACATGTACCGGAGTAATCAGAGTACAAATGATGAGTAACTGTATTCAGTTACAGTTACTGTTTCAGTGAGTGGTAATTGGATTACAGTTACTTTGTTGAAATAAATGGATTACACAGAGGGATTTTACTGTTTTCACATTTTGGGCTAAACCAGGTCTAAAACAGGATTTAACAGGACTAAATCCTGCTGTGTGACGTGTTTCTTCGTTTTCTATCAATAATATTTTTAATTTGGTTCAGTAAAGTTTGGACTTTTTATTTTCTTTTATCAAACAAAACTTCTTATGTGAAGATTTCTTAGTCTTTGTTTCTCTACAACAAATCAAATAATCCAAAGTAATCAGATTACATTACTCACTTTAAGTAATTTAATGGATTACGTTACAAACTACATTTTGGGATATGTAATCTGTAATCTGTAGGGGATTACATTTTAAAAGTAAACTTCCCAACACTGGAAATATGTGACATTAACAGTCTGTTCTTCTCTCTTCTGTTGTTTTTACTACAACTTCTCCTGATCTCTCATTTTATCAAATTAATTTCCCTCAAAAAGTGCGATTTATGTGTTTTTTTGTTTCTTCTTCATTCTGCTTTTTTTGGCTGGTCTGACTTATAGTCTGAAAAATACAGTACTAAATTTCTGTCGACCTCTAAAATGAGCAGCTCTCTGGCGTTTTCGTTTTACAAAAAGCAGGTCGCAGGAGGAGAAAGGATTGGAGCTCCCTGTTCTAATCTAATCAAGTGAACAGCTCCTTTTCGCTTTATGGATTGGATCATTTCGGGGCTAGAATTGGACGGTGGAGCAGTGTGTTTTCAGTTTGAGACAAGAACTGGGGTTAAATCTACAGGGTTTGTGTGTGGATGGAACGAAACACAGCTCCAGGTCTGTGTGCGACCAGGAGGCCACATCAGAACATCAGAACATTGGAGAACGTTTACATGTTCCTCTCGCGCTGACGGTGACTGGACTCAGCTCTTTGAGAAGCTCTGGAGTTCTGAACGCGCTGGACGTGACCACACAAGTGTCACTGAATCTGAAACGGGCAGAATCCTGGAACAGCTGATCACTTTTGTTCAATCTGACCAAAGAAACTGCTCCTGTCCTCACAGAAGAACCTGGACTCGCTCAGGCCGGACTCCGTCTCCGTGATCACCACATCCACTCAACGCTCAGTTTATGGAACCTGGAACCTTCTAGTTTTTTGGGGTCAGGATTTATTGTGTTCTTTTTCTTTGCTTTCCTGAGAAATGTGTGATTATTTTCTGTCTTTAAGATCAGATTTAAACTGTAGAAGGTTTGATCACGTCCGACTCGTCACAGACACAAACTCGACTCTGAACCGTCTCATCCTCCTCAGGTTTATTTCCTGCACATCGTCATTTGAACAATATTATAGATTGAGAACAGTTTCAGAGGTTTGAATCGGCTCCGGGGTTTGTTTCAGTTTCATCGTTTCAGTTTCAGTTTCAGTTTCAGTTTCATCGTTTCTGGTTTATCGTCTGTGTTTACTTCAGTGTGAGGGTCGTGTTGTAAATGAAATGTTCTGTACCTTTCCTGGGGCCCCTCTGGGTGGCGCTCTCCCCCGGCTGCACCTCTGCAACACACACACACAGAAACACACACACACACACACACACAGAAACACACACACACAACACACACAACACACACACATCAGTTATAACATGATTCTGTGTTCACTAACGGCTCTGCTCTGTCTGAATCTGTTACTCAAGTTAGACTTTAATCTGAGTTTTATTTTAACACAATCTGAGCATAAAGACCTGAGTGACCTGAGCTCCAACAGGTGACCTGACTGACCTGAGCTGTTAAACACGTCTCATTAGTTCTAAAGACGACCTCAGACGTGTCCTACGTGTCCTCAGACGTGTGAACGAGCCTCAGACGTGTGAACGAGCCTCAGATGTGACTGAACTGAGTGTGAAACTGTTACAGAAAAGTGCACAGTCTCACCGACAGAGAAGAGTGAAAGCACAGATCAGGACCTGGATCAGGACCTGGATCAGGACCTGGATCAGGACCTGGATCAGGACCTGGATCAGGACTTGGTCATCAGGTCGCCTTTATTCTTTATTTGTTTTCGTCACTTTCAGATCTGTGAGTTTTTTGGTCGTGGGTTTAGGGGACGATTCCCAAAAACTCAGATCATGATTTTTAAAAGCAAAGTTCACACACTTTTATTTTTACAGTATTTTTTTCTGATGTTAAAATCTTTTTCTGGTGTGATTAAAGCCTCTGACAGGTCGGACCAAACTCTGTTAGGATCATTGTATTTAAGATTTTGAAAAACATTTTATCTTTTTTTCCCATCATTTTCTTTTAGGGTTCAGATTTGGCTGAAGGGGATTATAAAACTGTTTCCTAGCAACCGTGAGCTGCACCGACAAACTCCTGTAAGACTCCGACTTCATCACCTGACAAATACAAATATTACATTTTGATTTGTGTAAAACTCTAATGTGAGCGGGGAAGAGCTCACTTCCTGTTTGGAAGGCGGCGCGTTCGCTGTCTGTACATACTGTAAATACAGTATATATATGTGCAGTATATAGAGTATATATAGAGTATATAGAGTATATAGAGTGTAGTGTATATGAGCAGTACAGAGCAGTATATTTAAGTCGTGTATTTAGAGTGTGTAGAGTGTGAGGTGCACCTCTGGAGCTTCGCTCTGAGGCTCGTGCAGATGTGGAGACGGGTCAAGAGTTCACTTCTAATATTCAATTAAAGGCCCAGTAGATCAGCGCTTGTGTCTTTATAATATTTATGGTGGAGTATTTCTCGGCAGCAGCTCTATATTCTCCGTGTGCTGACAGCGTCATTTGCATATCGCTGTAATTGCGTTCGGCGGAAGGACATTTTGTGTGAGAATTAGTATGAGTGACCATCCCGCTCCCTCTCCGCGCGCCGCTCTCTCCAGAGTAAATCTTTTATTGGACTAAATTTAGTGTGAGCGCGCTCAGTGCGGCGCCGCGTCTGACCTGGTGCGCGCCATCATAGAGAGATTTGTCCACTAGTTGAAGCTAATGAGCTTTTGGTGGCCCCTATTCACCCCGAGCCGCCTCCAGAGCCGCAGCGGAATATCTGATCTGAGCCGGAGCAAAGGTCGAGTCTAACAAGAAGATCTGCTTCATCTTCATTCACAGAGCTTATGTCCACGCGCTTATACGCTCTATACGCTCTATACGCTCTATACGCTCTATACGCTCTATACGCTCTATACGCTCTATACGCTCTATACGCTCTATACGCTATACGCTCTATACGCTCTATACGCTCTATATGCTCTATACGCTCTATACGCTCTATACGCTCTATACGCTCTATACGCTCTATACGCTCTATGCTCGCTCTATACGCTCTATACGCTCTATATGCTCTATAGCTCTATACGCTCTATACGCTCTATACGCTCTATACGCTCTATACGCTCTATACGCTCTATACGCTCTATACGCTCTATACGCTCTATACGCTCTATACGCTCTATATGCTCTATACGCTCTATATGCTCTATATGCTCTATACGCTCTATACGCTCTATACGCTCTATACGCTCTATACGCTCTATACGCTCTATACGCTCTATACGCTCTATACGCTCTATACGCTCTATACGCTCTATACGCTCTATACGCTCTATATGCTCTATACGCTTTATACGCTTTATATGCTCTATATGCTCTATACTCTCTGTACGCTCTAGAACCTATAGTCTCTATACACTCTGTATGCTCTATACTCTTTTCTCTCTGTACATTTAACACGCTCTATACTCTATATGCTCTATACCATATACTCTATACTCTCTGTACGCTCTGTACTCTACACGGTGTAGAACCTATATGCTCTGCACGCTTTCTACTCTCTACTCTCTGTACTCTATACTCTACACTCTCTGTACTCTATACTCTACACTCTCTGCACGCTCCACACGCTCTGTACACTCTAAACTCTACACCAGACATGTCCAAACTACGGCCTGTGGGCCAATTGCGGCCCTCAGACAAATTTTTCTTGGCCCTCAGGTTTCCAGGTGAATTGGCCCAAATTATCTTACATCAATTAAAAATTCATTTTTTACTGCAAGTTTTTTGAAAATCTACCTTGACAAAGCAAATATTTAATATTTAGTGTTTATTGGTTTTAAGGATCTCAGCATAAATAAAGACTGAGGCTCATTCTAAGATTTTAATTATTCACTGAACTGAGCTCCAGTCTGTGACCCTCGATCTCTGCTTCATCTGGGTTTAGACATGTGACCCATGATGAAAAAAGTTTGGACACCGCTGATCTGTTCACTCTGTATATGATGTGTATATGATGTGTATATGATGTGTATATGATCTGTATATATGTGTATACTCTGTATACACTCCCCACATTCTCACATTCAGCTGGGAGTTCTGAGGGGAGCGGGCAGTGTGTGCGGGAGTGGAGCGGGCGTGGGAGCGGGCAGTGAGGAGCGGGAGGAGCGGGCAGTGGGAGCGGGCACGGGAGCGGGCACGGGGAGCGGGCACGAGGAGCGGGCACGAGGAGCGGGCACTAACCTATATCGCTGAGGTTGCAGTAGGCTCTCCACTCTGAGCCGCTCCGTCCTTTCAGAGTCCCGGACTGTGGACACAAGAACAACAGAGACTCAGGAGAAACGTTCAGGAACATTTAAGTTTCAACTTTATCAGTTTAATTTAAAACTCTGAGGTTAAAGAACTCATGTGAGAATCAAACCAAGTTCTAATGTTCTAATGTTGTAATGTTCCTCCTCACACTCAGAGCTGGAGCTGTGTTTGTTTGAATAAATCTTTATTCTGTTACATCTGCAAAACTCCAAACACTCTGTTCCACCTTGTGATGTCATGAAGTGGTTGTTTTCAAGTTTTCAGCTCCTTTTCCCTTCAGTTCAGTCGAGATCAGCGACTCCACGACTGAAATGATCCAGATGATTCTAGTGAAGGTGTGTGGAGTTTAAAAACGCAGTGGAGCACTTCCTGTATCACCACATGATGACATCACAAGGTGGAACAGAGTGTTTTCAGTTTGAGAGAAGAACTTGTGTTAAATGTGCAGGTTTGTGTGAAACATGTGAATGAAACAAACACAAGTCCAGGTCTGAGTGACGAGGAAACGACACGAGAACAGATCAGGAGGAAGAGTCTTTAGAACACGTTTCAGATGTTTCGGATGTTTCAGATGTTCTCCGTGTTCTTGTGTGTTCCTGCGTGTTCTGTTGTGTTCTGCATGTTCTGTGTGTTCTTCGTGTTCTGTGTTCTAGTGTGTTCTGCGTGTTCCTGCGTGTTCTGTTGTGTTCTGCATGTTCATGTGTGTTCTTCGTGTTCTGTGTTCTTGTGTGTTCTGCGTGTTCCTGCATGTTCTGCGTGTTCTGTTGTGTTCTGCATGTTCATGTGTGTTCATGTGTGTTCTTCGTGTTCTGTGTTCTGTTGTGTTCCTGCGTGTTCTGCGTGTTCATGTGTGTTCTTCGTGTTCTGCGTGTTCTGTGTGTGTTCTGTGTGTTCATGTGTGTTCGTGTTCGTGTTCTGTTCGTGTTCTGTGTGTTCTGTTGTGTTCTGTGTGTTCTTCGTGTTCGTGTTCTTGTGTGTTCTTGTGTGTTCTGTTTGTGTTTCTGCATGTTCTGCGTGTTCTGTGTGTTCTGTGTTCTGTGTGTTCTGCGTGTTTGTGTGTGTTTCTTGTGTGTTCTGCGTGTTCCTGCGTGTTCCTGTGTGTTCTGCGTGTGTGTGTTGTGGTTTTGTGGAGCACTTTCTCGGGACCTTCAGGGTGTTCTGCGTGTTCTTGTATGTGTTCTTGTGTGTTCTGTGTGTGTGTGTTGTGGTTTTGTGGAGCACTTGTCGGGACCTTCAGGGTGTTCTGGTGTTCTTGTATGTTCTGTGTGTTCTGTGTGTGTTGTGGTTTTGTGGAGCACTTCTCGGGACCTTCAGGGTGTTCTTGTATGTTCTTGTGTGTTCTGTGTGTGTGTGTTGTGGTTTTGTGGAGCACTTGTCGGGACCTTCAGGGTGTTCTGTGTGTTCTTGTATGTTCTTGTGTGTTCTGTGTGTGTGTGTTGTGGTTTTGTGGAGCACTTGTCGGGACCTTCAGGGTGAGGGTTCCGTCCAGGCCGCTGGAGATGGTGGAGACCACGTTGCACTGAGCCACCGTGTGGTAACTCGGGTTGGAGAAACACGGAGGAGCTCCACTGTTCTGCCCGGGAGGGTGTCCAGGAGTGACCTCTGAGGGGGGGCGCATGGCCACGGTACTGCCGCACTCTGAAACACACACACACACTCTGAAACACAACACACACTCTGAAACACAACACACACACTGAAACACAACACACACACTGAAACACAACACAACACACACTCTGAAACACAACACAACACACACACTGAAACACAACACACACTCTGAAACACAACACACACTCTGAAACACAACACAACACACACACTGAAACACAAACACACACTCTGAAACACAACACACACTCTGAAACACAACACAACACACACACTGAAACACAACACACACTCTGAAACACACACACACTGAAACACAACACACACACTGAAACACAACACACACTCTGAAACACAACACAACACACACACTCTGAAACACAACACACACTGAAACACAACACACACTCTGAAACACAACAAACACACACACTGAAACACAACACACACTCTGAAACACAACACACACACTCTGAAACACAACACACACTCTGACAACACACACACACACACACTGAACACACACAACACACACACTGAAACACAACACACACTCTGAAACACACAACACACACTCTGAAACACAACACACACACTCTGAAACACAACACACACTCTGAAACACAACACAACACACACTGAAACACAACACACACTCTGAAACACAACACACACACTGAAACACAACACACACTCTGAAACACACACACACACTCTGAAACACACACACACACACACTGAAACACACACACACACTCTGAAACACAAACAACACACACTCTGAAACAAAACACAACACACACACTCTGACAACACACAACACACACACTCTGAAACACAACACACACACACACTGAAACACACACACACACAACACACACACTCTGAAACACAACACACACTCTGAACACACACACAACACACACTCTGAAACACAAACACACACACTGAACACACAACACAACACACACACTGACACACACAACACAAACACACACTGAAACACAACACACACTCTGAAACACACAACACACACTCTGAACACAACACACACACACTCTGAAACACACACACACAAACACAACACTGAAACACAACACAACACACACACACACACTCTGAAAACACAACACACACTCTGAAACACAACACACACTCTGACACAACACAACACACACACTGACAACACAACACACACACACACACTCTGAAACACAACACACACACTCTGACAACACAACACACACACACTCTGAACACACAACACACACAACACACACACTGAAACACAACACACACTCTGAAACACAACACACACTCTGAAACACAACACACACACAACACTGAAACACACACACACACACTGAAACACAAACACACACACTCTGAAACACAACACACAACACACACACACTCTGAAACACCAACACACACACTCTGAACACACACACACACACACACACACACACTGAAACACAACACACACTCTGAAACACAACACACACTCTGAAAACACAACAACACACACTCTGAAACACAACACAACACACACTGACAACACACAAACAACACACACACTGAACACAACCACACACACACTGAACACACAACACAACACACACACACTCTGACACACACAACACACACACACACTCTGAAACACAACACACACTCTGAAACACACACACACACAACACACACAACACACTGAAACACACAACACACACACACACTGAAACACAACACACACACACACACACAACACACACTCTGAACACACAACACACACACTGAAACACACACACACACTCTGAACACACAACACACACACACACACTGACAACACAACACACACACACACTGAAACACAACACAACACACACACTTTATATGAACACACAACACAACACACACACACTGAAACACAACACACACTCTGACAACACAACACAACAACACACTGAAACACACACACACACTGAAACACACACAACACACACACTGACAACACAACACACACACACACTCTGAAACACAACACAACACACACTCTGAAACACACACACACACACTCTGAAACACACACACACACACACTGAAACACAACACACACACTCTGAACACACAACACACACACACAACACACACACACACACTGAAACACAACACAACACACACTTTATATGAAACACAACACAACACACACACTGACACACACACACACACACACACTTTATATGAAACACAACACACACACACACTCTGAAACACAACACACACACACACTCTGAAACACAACACAACACACACTCTGAAACACAACACACACACACACTCTGAAACACAACACAACACACACTTTATATGAAACACAACACACACACACTCTGAAACACAACACACACACACACACACACACACTGAAACACAACACAACACACACTCTGAAACACAACACACACACTCTGAAACACAACACACACACACACACACACACTGAAACACACAACACACAACACAACACAACACAAACACAACACACACACTCTGAAACACAACACAACACACACACTGAAACACACACACACACACTCTGAACACAACACACACACACACACACACACTGAAACACAACACACACACACACTCTGAAACACAACACACACACTCTGAAACACAACACACACACTCTGAAACACAACACACAACACACACACTGAAACACAACACAACACACACACTGAAACACAACACAACACACACTCTGAAACACAACACACACACACACACTCTGAAACACAACACACACTCTATATGAAACACAACACACACACACACTTTATATGAAACACAACACACACACTCTGACACACACAACACAACACACACACTCTGAACAACAACACAACACACACTCTGACAACACAACAACACAACACACACACTGAACACACAACACACACACACACTGAAACACAACACACACACACTCTGACACACACACACACACAACACAACACACACACACTGAAACACAACACAACACACACACTTTATATGAAACACAACACACACACACACACTCTGAACACACACACAACACACACACTCTGAAACACAACACACACACTCTGACACACACACACACACACACACACACTGACACACACACACAACACACACACTGAAACACAACACAACACACACACTGAAACACAACACACACACTCTGAAACACAACACACACACTGAAACACACAACACACACACAACACACACACACACACACTCTGAAACACAACACACACACTCTGAAACACAACACACACACACTCTGAAACACAACACACACACTCTGAAACACAACACACACACTCTGAAACACAACACACACACTGAAACACAACACACACTCTGAAACACAACACACACTCTGAAACACAACACACACTCTGAAACACAACACACACACTGAAACACAACACACACTGAAACACAACACACACACTCTGAAACACAACACAACACACACACTCTGAAACACAACACACACACACACTCTGAAACACAACACACACACTCTGAAACACAACACACACACTGAAACACACACACACACTCTGAAACACAACACACACACTCTGAAACACAACACACACACTCTGAAACACAACAACACACACTCTGAAACACAACACACACACACACTCTGACAACACACACACAACACAACACACACTCTGAAACACAACACACACACTCTGAAACACAACACAACACACACACACACACTCTGAAACACAACACACACACTCTATATGAAACACAACACACACACACACTCTGAAACACAACACACACACTGAAACACAACACACACACACTGAAACACAACACACACACACACTGAAACACAACACAACACACACTCTGAAACACAACACAACACACACACTCTGAAACACAACACACACACTGAAACACAACACACACACTCTGAAACACAACACACACAACACACACACACTCTGAAACACAACACACACACTGAAACACAACACACACGAACCTAAACCCAAACCTGAACCTAAATTAAAACCTAAACCTGAATCTGAACCAGAACCTAAAGCTGAAACAGAACCTGTGCCAAAACCAGAACCAGAACCAGAACCAGAACATTTCCAGGTGCATTTTGTTTTTTTCGTGATCGTTTTAACCTGAACTGGACCCGTGTTCGTTTGTTCTGTTTAATAGTTTTAATAGTTTTACTCCGTCGTTAAGATCAGAACGGCTCCAGATCATTTCACGTTTCACTTTATTCCACCTGTGAGACTCTGAGATCTTTACACGGACCATCACTCCACGTTTGGGCTCCTCACAGAACGTCCAGAGAATTACAGACGAGATAAAGATGAGTGACGGGCGGCTCTCGTGTCTGTACGAGCTCCTCCACTCTGCTCAAAACGCATCAGTCTTTTGTTTACGTTTTAATACGGTCTCAAACCCAGCAGGACACGTTAGCATAATCTCCTCCGCTTTAAGTCGGAGCAGAAATTGGGGTCATAAAACAGAAATAAGAGCAGATCTGAGGCCCGCGTGGAGCCGCTGAATCGAATCTGCGATAATAACAGACAAACAAATGCAGGTTTTTACTCTGGAGGAACGACTGGACTGTTAAAAAACTAAAACTCTGAGCAGATACAGCTTCATCAACACGACTGCTGAGGAACTGAGGAACACGGCTGAGGAACACGACTGAGGAACTAGACTGAGGAACACGGCTGAGGAACACGACTGAGGAACACTGAGGAACACGACTGAGGAACACGACTGAGGAACACAGCTGAGGAACACGACTGAGGACACACTGAGGAAACAACTGAGGAAAACACACTGACTGAGGAACACGACTGAGGAACTAGACTAAGGAACACGGCTGAGGAACACGACTGAGGAAAGGACTGAGGAACACGACTGAGGAACACGGCTGAGGAACACGACTGAGGAAACGACTGAGGAACACGGCTGAGGAACACGACTGAGGAACACGACTGAGGAACACGACTGAGGAACTAGACTGAGGAACACGGCTGAGGAACACGACTGAGGAACACGACTGAGGAACACACTGAGGAACACTGAGGAACACGACTGAGGAACACGACTGAGGAACACGACTGAGGAACACAGCTGAGGAACACGACTGAGGAACACGGACTGAGGAACACGACTGAGGAACTAGACTAAGGAACACGGCTGAGGAACACGACTGAGGAAAGGAGCTGAGGAACACAACTGAGGAACACAACTGAGGAACTGAACTGAGGAACACGACTGAGGAACTAGACTGAGGAACACAGCTGAGGAACACGGCTGAGGAACACTGCTTGACGTCACAACTTGACATTCGTTTGAGAGGGAGTAGTCCGTGTTGGAGATGTTTGAGAGGGAGTAGTCCGTGTTGGAGATGTTTGAGAGGGAGTAGTCCGTGTTGGAGATGTTTGAGAGGGAGTAGTCCGTGTTGGAGATGTTTGAGAGGGAGTAGTCCGTGTTGGAGATGTTTGAGAGGGAGTAGTCCGTGTTGGAGATGTTTGAGAGGGAGTAGTCTGTGTTGGAGATGTTTGAGAGGGAGAGGAGTTAGTCCGTGTTGGAGATGTTTGAGAGGGAGAAGTCCGTGTTGGAGATGTTTGAGAGGGAGAAGTCCGTGTTGGAGATGTTTGAGAGGGAGTAGTCCGTGTTGGAGATGTTTGAGAGGGAGTAGTCCTGTGTGGAGATGTTACCTGAGAGGGAGAAGTCCGTGTTGGAGATGTTTGAGAGGGAGTAGTCCGTGTTTGGAGATGTTTGAGAGGAGTAGTCCGTGTTTGAGAGATGTTTGAGAGGGAGTAGTCCGTGTTGGAGATGTTTGAGAGGGAGTAGTCCGTGTTGGAGATGTTTGAGAGGGAGTAGTCCGTGTTGGAGATGTTTGAGAGGGAGTAGTCCGTGTTGGAGATGTTTGAGAGGGAGTAGTCCGTGTTGGAGATGTTTGAGAGGGAGTAGTCCGTGTTGGAGATGTTTGAGAGGGAGTAGTCCGTGTTGGAGATGTTTGCGGTCGTACCTGAGAGGGAGTAGTCCGTGTTGGAGATGTGCATGGCCTGGGAGTAGGACACGCTGGGCTGGATCTCCTGACCTTTGTCCCTCTGTCTCTGCCGGTACCAGACGAACAGACTGAGCATCGCCATGACGATGAGGAGGAGGAAGATGACGCCCATGACGGCGCCGGCGGACTGACGCTCCGAGCTGCGCGCCGGGCTGATCTTCGTGTACGGGTTCAACTCCTCCATCATCAGAGCTGCTGCAGGCCCAAGGGCACGAGGTTAGAACGAAGACGAGAAGAGAGGAAGAAGAGAAGAAAGAGAAGAAGAAGAAGAGGAAGAGAAGAAGAGGAAGAAGAAAGAGAGAAGAGGGAGGAGAGCAGGGAGAAGGTCCATGTGACACTGTTCTCTGTTCTCATGTTGTTTCAGATCTGCAGTTGTGTTTTGTTTCATTCACATGTTTCACACAAACCTGCACATTTTTTCAGTTTGACTTTTTCTCTCAAACTGAAATCACTCTGTTCCACCTTGTGACGTCATCGTGTGGTGACACAGGAAGTGCTCCACTGTGTTTTTAAACTCCACACACCTTCACTAGAATCACCTGGATCATTTCTTCACTGTTTCACTCCAGTTTTTTCTTTTATTGACACGACCTTTGTCCCTCAGACGTTCCTCGTCGTAACGTCACATTAAACAACATCAACATCAACACTCTGCAGAGTCAAAATACAATAATGGAACATTACGATGAAGAGCACATCCAGACTCTCATGAGAGACGCTCATGATAAAACTAAACTCAAAACTTGCATCACTTTTTTGATTTTAAAAAAAATGTTTTGTTTGTAAAATGAAACGTAATTGTTAACTTTTTAATGTTGATAATTCCATCCATCCACCCTGCGGAGGAAACTCATTTCGAGCTCTTGTATCGACGATCTCGTCCTTTCGGTCACTACCCAGACTCATGACCAGAGGTGAGGGGAGGAACGAAGACTGACCGGTAAATCGAGAGCTTCGCCTTTCGGCTCAGCTCCTCTTCACCACAACGATTCAGCGACTGCATCACTGCAGACGCTGCACCGATGATAATTATCTTTATATTTTTCTAATTATTGTCCATGTGTTCCACCTCATGACAGATCGATCAGTTAATCATTTCAGTCCTGGACTTGGCGACTGAACTAAAGAGGAAACGAGCTGTTCACTTGGAAACTACCACTTCATGACATCACAGGGTGGAACAGAGCGTTTGGAGGTTTGGAGATGTAACAGATATAATAAAGAGTTACTCAAACAAACACAACTCCAGCTCTGAGTGTGAACAGGAACATTAGAACATTAGAACATTAGAACATTAGAACATTAGAACATTAGAACATTAGAACAAAGACTTAAAGTTCACATGAGTCAGTTTCTGTGATTTTGGAGCTTTAAATAACTTGTAATAATCATGTTTATTGAGACGTCTGTGGGCAAAGTGAATGAACACAGAGCCCGGGTCAGACCTCACAACCTCTGAGCCGCTCTGCCCTTGTGCTCTTGGGCCAGAGGAGAACAGTGGACGTGGATCACCTTGGTCACAGCGGATCCCTTTGTACCCGGAGCTGCAGTAGCACGTCCCCGTCACGTAGTCGCAGGTGGCGTTGTTCAGACACTCGCAGAGCTGCTGGCACCCGTACCCGAACGTACCCGCCGGGCACTCTGCAGAGAGACACGCCATCACCACACCGCCCACCCACAGCCACAAAAGCACTTCACCTCACCGCCGCAGGGTCCTCAAGCTCCACAGGCTCCACAAACTCCACAAACTCCACAAACTCCACAAACTCCACAAGCTCCACAAACACACACTCCACTCTCATGAAACGGGCTGGTCCTGGTCCTGGTCTGGTCCTGGTTTAGTCCTGGTTTAGTCCTGGTTTAGTCCTGGTTTAGTCCTGGTCTGGTCCTGGTTTAGTCCTGGTTTAGTCCTGGTCTGGTCCTGGTCTGGTCCTGGTCTAGTCCTGTCCTGTTAGTCCTGGTCTAGTCCTGGTCCTGGTTAGTCTGGTCTGGTGGTCTAGTCCTGGTCTGGTCCTGGTCTAGTCCTGGTCTGGTCCTGGTCTGGTCCTGGTCTGACTGACTCTGTTCACAGTTGTTTCCGATGAAGCCGGTCCGACAGGCGCACTGCCCCGACACGTGGTCACAGTCGGCTCCGTTCTGACACCGACAAATCTCAGCACAATCCCGACCGAAGAACCCAGAGGGACATCCTGAAAAACAAGACCAGAGGGACATCCTGAAAAACAAGACCAGAGGGACATCCTGAAAAACAAGACCAGAGGGACATCCTGAAACACAAGACCAGAGGGACATCCTGAAACACAAGACCAGAGGGACATCCTGAAACACAAGACCAGAGGGACATCCTGAAACACAAGACCAGAGGGACATCCTGAAAAACAAGACCAGAGGGACATCCTGAAAAACAAGACCAGAGGGACATCCTGACCAGAGGGACATCCTGAAACACAAGACCAGAGGGACATCCTGAAACAGACCAAGACCAGGGACATCCTGAAACACAGACCAGAGGGACATCCTGAAAACAAGACCAGAGGGACATCCTGAAAAACAAGACCAGAGGGACATCCTGAAAAACAAGACCAGAGGGACATCCTGAAACACAAGACCAGAGGACAGACCAGAGGGACATCAAACACAAGACCAGAGGGACATCCTGAAACACAAGACCAGAGGGACACAGGAGGGGGTTTAGTCCTGGTTTAGTCCTGGTTTAGTCCTGGTTAAGTCCTGGTTCAGTCCTGGTTCAGTCCTGGTTCAGTCCAGGTCTGGTTTAGTCCTGGTTTAGTCCTGGTTCAGTCCAGGTCTGGTTCAGTCCTGGTTTAGTCCTGATTCAGTCCTGGTTCAGTCCTGGTTCAGATCTGGTTCAGTCCAGGTCTGGTTCAGTCCTGGTTCAGTCCTGGTTCAGTCCAGGTCTGGTTCAGTCCTGGTTTAGTCCTGATTCAGATCTGGTTCAGTCCTGGTTCAGTCCTGGTTCAGTCCTGGGTCTGGTTCAGTCCAGGTCTGGTTTAGTCCTGGTTTAGTCCTGGTTCAGTCCTAGTTCAGTCCTGGTTCAGTCCGGGTCTGGTTTAGTCGTGGTTCAGTCCTGGTTCAGTCCTGGTCTGGTTCAGTCCAGGTCTGGTTTAGTCCTGGTTTGGTCCTGGTTCAGTCCTGGTTTAGTCCTGGTTTAGTCCTGGTTCTGGTTTAGTCCTGGTTTAGTCCTGGTTTAGTCCTGGTTTAGTCCTGGTTCAGTCCTGGTTTAGTCCTGGTTTAGTCCTGGTTTAGTCCTGGTTCAGTCCTGGTTTAGTCCTGTTTAGTCCTGGTTCAGTCCTGGTTTAGTCCTGGTTCAGTCCTGGTTTAGTCCTGGTTCAGTCCTGGTTTAGTCCTGGTTTAGTCCTGGTTTAGTCCTGGTTAGTCCTGGTTCAGTCCTGGTTCAGTCCTGGTTAGTCCTGGTTTAGTCCTGGTTCAGTCCTGGTTTAGTCCTGGTTTAGTCCTGGTTTAGTCCTGGTTCAGTCCTGGTTTAGTCCTGGTTTCAGTCCTGGTTTAGTCCTGGTTCAGTCCTGGTTAGTCCTGGTTAGTCCTGGTTAGTCCTGGTTCAGTCCTGGTTCTGGTTTAGTCCTGGTTTAGTCCTGTTTCAGTCCTGGTTTAGTCCTGGTTTAGTCCTGGTTTAGTCCTGGTTTAGTCCTGGTTTAGTCCTGGTTTAGTCCTGGTTTAGTCCTGGTTGTGAATCAGGATGAGTTTGTGAAGAAAATGCAGAAACATCAGAACAAGAATCCGACGAGATTCAGAAGATTTGAGTCTTGACACAAAAGTCGGAAATGGTGTAAACAAAACACTGATTTTTTATGCAAAAGTGACGGGGACAAATGGCAGAGAGAAAAGTCATTTCTATGCATATGACGGCGAGCGGCGCCGCAGGCTCACGCCGCCGCATCCGAATTAGTGCAGCTGATGTTTGTACTGTCCCCGCACCAACGGAATCTGGAATGAAAACTCAGCGTACAGTCGCCTCCTCCAGTGTCTGCGCCACAACCTACGCATTTATATTTACATTATACATTTATATTTACACTATATATTTATATTTACACTATATATTTATATTTACACTATATATTTATATTTACACTATACATGTATATTTACACTATACATTTATATTTACACTATATATTTATATTTACACTATATATTTATATTTACATTATACATGTATATTTACACTATACATTTATATTTACACTATACATGTATATTTACACATTATATTTACACTTATATTTATTTACACTATATATTATATTTACACTATACATTTATATTTACACTATACATGTATATTTACACTATACATTTATATTTACATTATACATGTATATTTACACTATATATGTATATTTACATTTATATTTACACTATATATTTATATTTACACTATATATGTATATTTACACTATATATTTATATTTACACTATATATTTATATTTACACTATATATGTATATTTACACTATACATTTATATTTACACATGTATATTATACATGTATATTTACACTATATATTTATATTTACATTATACACATTTATATTTACACTATATATATTTATATTTACATTTATACATTTATATATTTACACTACATATATATTTATATTTACATATATTTACATTTTATATTTACACTATACATGTATATTTACACTATATATTTATATTTACATTATACATTTATATTTACACTATATATTTATATTTACACTATATATTTATATTTACACTATACATGTATATTTACACTATACATTTATATTTACACTATACATTTATATTTACACTATACATGTATATTTACACTATACATGTATATTTACACTATATATTTATATTTACACTATACATGTATATTTACACTATACATTTATATTTACACTACATATATATTTACACATTATATTTACACTGTACATGTATATTTACACTATTTACATTTATATTTACACTATATATTTATATTTACACTGTACATGTATATATTTATATTTACACTATACATTTATATTTACACTATATATTTATATTTACACTATATATTATATTTACACTATACATTGTATATTTTTACACTACTATACATTTATATTTACACTATACTATACTATACATTTATATTTACACTATACATTTATATTTACACTATATATTTATATTTACACTATACATTTATATTTACATTACATACACGCAGTGTCGGGGAGTAACAGATTACATGTACCGGAGTTAAGTAATCAGAGTACAAATGATGAGTAACTGTATTCAGTTACAGTTACTGTTTCAGTGAGTGGTAATTGGATTACAGTTACTTTGTTGAAATAAATGGATTAAACAGAGGGATTTTACTGTTTTCACATTTTGGGCTAAACCAGGATTAAAACAGGAACCACATCTAAACCAGGACTAAAACCAGGACTAAACCAGGACTAAAACCAGGACTAAACCACACTAAAACTAAACAGACTAAACCAGGACTAAAACCAGGACTAAACAATATGACACTAACAGTACTTGGACATAACTGAAGGCAGCAGTGATTTCATATAAAAATCATTTCTCTATCAATAATATTTTTAATATGTTTAAGGAAAGTCTGGGCTTTTTATTTTCTTGTTCGTAGATAAAACTTCTCATGTTCAGATTCTGGTCTTTGCTTCTCTACAGTAAAACAAAAGTCTGTTCATGGAGACTTGGCCTCCACAGTTTGAAGAGAACAAACATGAATTTTCAGGATGTGGTCGTTACATTCATGTAGTTTTAAAAAACATGACAATATCAAGTAATCCAAAGTAATCAGATTACATTACTCACTTTAAGTAATTTAATGGATTATGTTACAAACTACATTTTGGGGTGTGTAATCTGTAATCTGTAGGGGATTACATTTTAAAAGTAACCTTCCCAACACTGCATACACGTGTATATAAAGTATGTTTATATATGTGTATATAAAGGATCTTTTCTGTTCTGTTTGAACATTTGGATGTGAAAATCCCTCTTCACTTTAGATACAAACTCTTGTGAATAAATCAAAGTTTCTGATTCTAAATGTTCGTCTCAAACACCGACGCTGCAGTAACACTTTATAATAACTACACCTTAATTAGCCTTAATAAAGCATGAACAAAGACTTAATTAATAATGATTAACGCTTAGTAAATGTTTAATAAAGCATAATTAGTCTTCACTTTAGAAAACTCTCAAAAAGACTAACAGATAACAGCTGCCTGAATGATCATTGAATTACATTATTAGTAAATCATTCTCTCATAGTTTACTAATGATTAATAAATGCTCAAATGGTTAGTTCATGAGTAATTAAGTATGAAATAATTATGAATAACTATTTACAGCACAGGCAAATTAAGTGCAAGTGCTAATTAAGGTAGTAATTAAGTAGTTACTAAGTGTGAATCATTATTAATTAAGTCTTTGTTCATTATTAATTAAGCCTTTGTTCATGCTTTATTAAGGCTAAATAAGGTGTAGTTATTATAAAGTGTTACCGACGCTGCTTCTCTCCTCATCAACAAAAATAAATGAGAGTTTTCTGGCGGATCTGCTCCTGGAAATGTTCCACAGTGTGGCATTTTAATGAACCAGTCTTACATACGTATAAAGCATTATTACTGAGAGCAGAGTCACCTCTCCACAGATCTGACCTGTAACGTGGCCTGGTCGTAGAGGTGTGCAGAGCCTCGAGTCTGACAAGACGATACATGTTACACATATTCACACGTTACGATTCAATATATCACGATATTTCCCGATACTAAAACAGTGGACGATATACTGCGATTTATCAATAATCACTTCTAATAACAGAGTCAGATACAGGTTCAGGAAAACACAACTGTGTGAAAATATCATTGAATATGTTTTTTCAGCCTTGAGAACAGTGAATGTAATGTGGGTTTTTTCGGAAGGTTCAATGCGTGTCCTAAAAAGAAGCACGAGAGATGGAGAATCCGAGAGAACAGGCCACTTTATTTCAGCATTTCCATTGAGAGATTCAAGTTGATTACCAAGTACAACTGCCACCCCGGACGACGTCTCTGACCAACTCAAACTCAGGGGTAACTTTATACTACATCTTGACAAAACATTAACTTGTTGATTTAGCAAATACAGCAAGAAAATGAACAATACTGCTGACCCAGTGCACCTTATCATGGGTGGGAACATGCCACGGGGTCCACATATGTCAGTTTTTCTGCTTCGTGGCATCTCAAAGTCCAGAAAAACATGTTATATAGACCTATAGACAGTCATACGTGTTTTCCACCCTGTTGTCATTCCAAAGTCCATAATATTAGGTGAATTAGCATGAACAACACATAATATTTCCCACAGTAACTCGTGAATTTTTGTGAAAAATATTTTTAAAATGGTTTCAGATCCATTCTGAATCGATTTGAGAATTGTGCAATGAAGTATCACGATGTGTCACTGAATCGATTTTTTCCTACACTCCTGTCTCACAGTGTCACATTCTTGTCTCCATGGAGATAGAATATCACACACTTAATGCCGTACTGTGGAACATTCTAGGCAGAGAAATCACACCTCCAGGGTCACGTGCTGCAGCGATAAAACTCTGACTCTGATCCACGTCCTGATGTTTCTCCCTCCTCACAAACATCACAACGTCCGTCCACACGTGTGAGGAAAACTTCTCCAAATGATCCACATGATTCTAGTGAAGGTGTGTGGAGTTTAAAAACACAGTGGAGCACTTCCTGTATCACCACACGATGACATCACAAGGTGGAAAAGAGTGTTTTGTGTTTGAGAGAAAAACTTGTGCTAAATGTGCAGGTTTGTGTTAAACATGTGAATGAAACAAAACACAACTGCAGCTCTGAGTGTGACCAGGAAACAACAGCAGAACAGAGTCAGATGGAACATTTAAATATATATATATTATATATTATATATATCATATGTAGATTCTGGTGTGTAGTTTTTATACTTTTATCTTTCCAACATTTGTGCAGAAATAAAAATAAGATCAGATGAGACGTTATTTGTCGTTTGTCACTGGAAAAACGTTCTGTCCACAAACTCCAAAACCAAAACCAAAACCAAAGAGACGAATGAGAACGAGACGCCTGAATATAAAGTAAACACAGAATATACAATATATACAATATATACAATATATACTATATACACTATATATACAGTAAATAAAGTAAATAAGTATATACAGTATATAAAGTATATAAAGTATATAAAGTACAGTATATACAGAACAGCTTCTGCCACAAAGAATCATGTGACTGATGTGAAGTCGTGTGCAGTTTATGTTGCGCCCTGTAGGGAGCAGTGTACTCACTCTGGGTGCAGTAGTGTGCAGGGGCCTGTAGGGAGCAGTGTACTCACTCTGGGTGCAGTAGTGTGCAGGGGCCTGTAGGGAGCAGTGTACTCACTCTGAGTGCAGTAGTGTGCAGGGGCTGTAGGGAGCAGTGTACTCACTCTGGTGCAGTAGTGTGCAGGGGCCTGTAGGGAGCAGTGTACTCACTCTGGGTGCAGTAGTGTGCAGGGGCCTGTAGGGAGCAGTGTACTCAGGAGCAGTGACTCACTCTGGGTGCAGTAGTGTGCAGGGGCCTGTAGGGAGCAGTGTACTCACTCTGAGTGCAGTAGTGTGCAGGGGCCTGTAGGGAGCAGTGTACTCACTCTGGGTGCAGTAGTGTGCAGGGACCTGTAGGGAGCAGTGTACTCACTCTGGGTGCAGTAGTGTGCAGGGGCCTGTAGGGAGCAGTGTACTCACTCTGGGTGCAGTAGTGTGCAGGGGCCTGTAGGGAGCAGTGTACTCACTCTGGGTGCAGTAGAGTCCGGTCCATCCGGGTCCACAGCGACACTCTCCATCGTACGCGCTGCACTGGGCCCCGTTATGACAGTTACATGAGTTCAGGCAGTCAGGTCCCCAATGACCTGAGGGACACGCTGTGAGGACCAAACACACACACAGTGACCTGAGGGACACGCTGTGAGGACCAAACACACACACAGTGACCTGAGGGACACGCTGTGAGGACCAAACACACACACAGTGACCTGAGGGACAGACACACACTTGGTCCATAATGTCCCACAGTGTCTCAGGGCGCGTTCACACTCAGCCTGACTTGGTCTTGACCTTAGTTTAGTCCTGATGTGGTCCTGGTTTAGTCCTGGTTCAGTCCTGGTTTCAGTCCTGGTTCAGTCCTGGTTCAGTCCTGGTTTAGTCCTGGTTTAGTCCTGGTTTAGCCCCAGTTTTGACCTGGAGTTTGTGTGAACATTTTACTGTAGAAACATTTACTGTATTTCATCAAAACACACACACACACACTCTCTCTTTCTCTCTCTCGTCTCTTGTATAAAGTCGGTTCGTTTGTTTGTTTGTTTGTTTGTTCCGTCACTTTGCATTAGAAAAGAATCGGCCCTGATCTGGAACTTGGCAAGAATTTAAAAAGAATGTTTGATGGACGGACGAAAGAACCACGACCGCGTTCCAGCTCATGAAAATATCAGAACGAACGAGGCCAACGTGCAAAACAACAACAACAACACACACACACACACACACACACACACACACACACACACACACACACACACACACACACACACACACACACACACACCATCTCCAACGCTCCAAACGCTCTGCTACACCTCATGATGTCATGAAGAGGTAGTTTCCTGTTCTTCTGTCTCTTTACGTCAGATTTAAAGACAGGAGGTTGGACTAATGACATTTTTGCATCACATTCTGACCTGTAAATAAATCAAGTCAACTTCGAGATGATTATAAATGTGTGTACTGTGAAAATGAATGATATGTGTAAATGTGGATCATTCACATGTCTCATTCACACATCAGTGCAGGTCCAATCACATGTGCACACACTAGAGTCACTTTATGTGAGGATGGTGTAAGAAAACAGAGCTACAACAGCTAAGAGCGAAACAACGAGAAAGAACCAAAAGTATCTCCAAAACCGACACATTTCCAACCCTCAGCCTCACACAGGCTCCTCTCAGATCACAAGTCTGAACTCAGAAGTTTGATAAAAACAGTTGTAGTTTTGTTTCTATCCTAAACTGAGCTGAAGTTCACTTTTATTTCTCGTAAGTATCGTGGATCAGACACAGGAGCGTTTAAAGCCTCAGTGTTGTGCACGTGGATCTACAGCTGTGCACGGGTGTAAACAAGCGCACGTGAGTGACATGAGTGACATGAGTGACATGAGTCTGGGGGTGTGTTCAGGGGCAGTACGACGTTACAGACAAAAACAAATGTCTGTCTCTAAACTGGATTAAATGGACAAAATATAGAGAGTCTAATCTTCATAACGAGGTGTAACTGCCCACGTGGACGATCGGCCCAGACCGATAAGATTTAGACCGATACCGATACTGATATGTCTCCAATATATCGGTCAGGCCCAAGTTCTAATGTTCTAATGTTCTAATGTTCTAATGTTCTAATGTTCTAATGTTCTAATGTTCCTGGTCACTTTATCATGAGTCTGTTACATCTTCAAAACTCCAGACGCTCTGCTCCACCTTGTGATGTCATGACGTGACATCACAAGGTGTAAATGTAAAATGTAAAATCAAATGCAATGTGTTTGCATGAAAAAGAAAACTAAGTTGTTGTGCATAATAGTGAAGATTTCTGTTTGCAGTTGATCAATAATTGTGCCTGAACTGATTTAGAATGTTTAGTGATCATCCTGATGATGTTTTGTCTTGAAAAAGGAAAAGGGGACAGAGAACAGAAGATTTCTCTTCTTTCTGCTACTTTTCATTCATTTCTTGTGCGTCTGATGTTGTGACACTGTCGATGTCTTTTTATGTTTTATGAATGAAATAAAAAAAAAAAAAAATACAAATACAAATACAAATACAAGTGGTAGTTTTCAGGTTCTCAGCTCCTTTTCCCTTTAGTTCAATCAAGATCGATAAAAACACTTCAGGACTGAAATGATCCAGGTGATTCTAGTGAAGGTGTGTGGAGTTTAAAAACACAGTGGAGCACTTCCTGTATCACCACACGATGACATCACAAGGTGGAACAGAGTGAAACCATGTTGGAGTTTTCATTTCCCATCGTTTCTTGAAGCTCTGAGACTTTCCTCCCACCGCGCGCGTGTGTGTGTGTGTGTGTGTGTGTGTGTGTGTGTGTGTGTGTGTGTGTGTGTGTGTGTGTGTGCGTGTGTGTGTAATATCCTCTGGAACATTATTTCATCACCGCGTCGCGTCGGTTTAAAAATGCAGCGGGCGCCTTCCTCTGACCTTTGACCCCGGGCCGCTCCGTCAGCGCGATATCGCCGACGCCGCGTCTTTGTGTCATTACCTATTTTACTTTAAGCGTTAAAGCGACGGAATCACACGCATCCATCTCCACCACGATGACGGCTCCAACGGCTCCGAGAGAAAAAGAGAAGAGGAAGAGGAGAGAGGAGAGAGGAAAGGAGAGAAGAAAAGAGAGAGGAGGAAAGAGGAAGAGTGGAGCGAGGAGGAGAGAAGAAGAGGAGCTGGAGGAGGAGAGAAGAAGAGGAGCTGGAGGAGGAGGAGGAGGAGGAGCTGGGGGAGGATCTTTGTCCCTCGGAGCCATAAATCAAAGAGCATAATGTATTACAACAATCATTTAAACGTGTGTGTGTTTTACAGCGAGCGCAGAGACGAGAGGGGGATGAAGGATGAGTGCAGAGGGAGGAGGGATGGAGGGAGGAGGAGGAGGAGACACGTGGACGTTTGGTCGGACGGGACCCCGAGCTCGAGGAGCAGAGTGTTCAAGTGTGAAGCGAGATCGAGCGACGGCTGAACTTTGCCCCGTGGAGCTCTGTGTCGCTCCTTTCACCCGCGGTCACCCGACGGTCTACACGGGCGCGAGCTCCAGGCCCGTCCCGACACTCGGAGCCGTAACAAAGCCCGGCGCCGTCTGGGAGGAAGGGTCCGGGCTCAAACTCGTCACACACTCGCCTCTCCCCTCTGAGATTAGGCGAGGGGGGGCGGGGGGTTCAGTGTCTCTCACATTCAGCTCCCGCGAGCCTCCGTCGTCTCTGGAGGGTAAAGCCCTGCAAACCGGAGCGGCGCGGGACACATTCTGAACGTTCACAGCGGGCGGGAGCAGGAGCAGGACTACACCACACGAGAGCAGGAGGGAGGATAAACTACAGACCCACAAACTAAATACAAGAGTAAAGTAAAATATACAAATGATGAATGTAAGAATATCATGCATCATTTGTGCTGGAGATTTTATTTGGCATTAATAAAAACATTTTAAGCAGCAGACCGTCCCCCCTCCCATTTGCGGCGCGGACAGACTGCACCACTAAACCAGAACTAAACCAGAACTAAAAACAGGTCTAAAACAGGATTTAGCCAGGACTTATCCATGCCTCTGGATCGACCACCGCGCCTCCTCCCAGACGCAGCCCAATTCCTTTCGCTTCTCTGTGTTTGATGGAGTTTAAGAAAGCAAAGATTCTCATCCTGAGGGATTTGCAGGTGGGAGCAGGACAAAATATTCCAGATGCGGGCGAGAGCGAGACTGAAAATTACAGTTCTTTGCGGGAACAGGTGGGAGCAGGACTGAAAGTTCTGTCCCGCGCAGACCTCAGCTGGACGACTCGAGCCAACCCTGTCAGAGAGTTTGGTCTCAACCCGAACCGAGACAAACAAACATCTCTCAGCGGTGTCACTCGGCTCGTGTGTCGACGAAGAACACAGCTGTGAACTAACGTGAACTACAGACACACTGACCATGGACACTTTGAACGCACTACTCCCGTCTGAGGGTCAGTTTGCCGTCAGTGAGGAGCTCCCCCTTGCAGTTAATGTTTTTCGCAGCGTGAGCCGCTCTCCTTCGTCCTTCAAGTGCGGATTTGTTGTTTGTTTTCAGGTGTGAGAGCGAAACACACTGGACTCTAGACACTACAGAAGAACTGTTTCACTGTCGGGTCTGGACTAAATAATCGTTTTAACACAGTGAAAACACCTGACAGGTTTAAGGCTCCTGTTAGTCACATTTACATGTTTCACTCTGAACAGACGCAGACGTCTCAAATCTAATCACAATCACAAAACTCGTCAGAAAATCATGGATCCTGGTCTCACCCTGGGAGCAGTCGTCTCCGATCCACCCGGGGAAACACTGGCACGAGCCGTCGATCGGGTTACACGTCCCGTTGTTGGTGCAGAGACAAATCTCAGCGCAGACTCGACCGTACCTGCCCGTGGGACACACTGAGGACAGGACAGGGACAGAGGACAGGACAGGGACAGAGGACAGGACAGGGACAGAGGACAGGACAGGGACAGAGGACAGGACAGAGGACAGGAGAGAAGTCCGGGTTAGACTAAAGGTCTGTGGACTTCACACTGACCTGGTTCTGATGGTTCGTGTGTTTGTGTTTTAGTGGCTCCAGCTGCTCTTCTGTCAGTGAAACTGTGGGTTGAAGTTCAAATTTGAGCCAAAGATTTTCGCTTCACTTTCATCCAATCTTGACTAAAAATGCTGAAATGGCAACAACAGAGAAAATAAAACAGACGACAATAAAAAAAGAATTCCATATCTGACTTTATAAATCCCCACAGAGGCAGCTGCATTTATCCATCCGTCCACGTTCTTCCTCTTCTCCGGGGTCGGGGCGCGGGATCATCAGTCTGAGTAGGAACTCCCAGGCTTCCTTCACCCTGGACACTTCCTCCAGCTCCTCCAGGTGGACCCCGAGGTGTTCCCAGGTCAGCCCGGAGACAGGGCGGCACGGCTCCAGTGATGGATGAGAACCACCCTGAGTACTGTGTTTTTCCGACAATAAGGTGCACTTAAAATCCTTTAATTTTCTCAAAAATCGACAGCGCGCCTTTTGTTTTTATTCTGCTTGTGCTTATTGACCTCGAACTGATTTTATCTGTCAAACATTGCTGTTTTTCAGAGCTTATAGTTTATGCAAATGAGTCATGTGGTTTTAAGTTTAGTTTCTGTAAAACATAAACAAATGTGTCAAAGCTGAATTAAACCCATTATTACTCAGTGTTTATTTGAGTCGTCCTCGTAGGAAATAAAAGAACAAACTTAAATGATCCACCCACATTTACATTCATAAAACACATTCACCAAGACAGAGATTCGATACGATCTGCAGATGGACCGAGGACGTCTGGGCTCAGGATCAGTCTCAAGTGTCGTCCGTTTGTTTCTGTTAATGTGTTTTATCATCTGAAAAATACAGTGTCTTAAGTCTGTGGATGTTGTGGGTCTTGTCTGACACGTCTCTGCAGCGTCGCGTGGCCCCAGGTTTCAAAAAGTTTATGATATAAAAATAGGTAAAAATCACCACAAAATCAGACGTTTTTGAAAGTTGTAGGTCCCTGTCAGACGAACAAGAGCAGTTTGTGATTATCTTGGCCTCTATGGGGAGAAAAAATTATTTTGTCGACTGAACAAAAGTTAGTTTGGTTGAAGATGTTTCTCGGCTCATCCAAGCTGCTTCTTCAGTTCTGTCAGACTCTGGTGACACTTCCTTATATCTGCAGGAGGAGCTAACTACACTGAAACTACTCTGAAACTAACACATGTTTACAGTTTCTGTTAGTTAGTTTGGCCTATTGACCTGTGCAGGGTGTGGGTCTAATTAACAGAACAATTCATGTCCATAATGGAGCTTCCACACCTCTGGTCCTGACCTGGATCCACCTGTTGTTCTTGTTTGTTTTGTTTGAGGTTTGAGGATGAACATGTAAATAGGAGACAGATGGAGTCTGAGGTCTCCATTTCTGTTTAGAGAAGGATTCTATGAGAAAAATCTTGTCTCAGCCCAGAAGATTTTTTCTGCTGAAGTTTCAGTGAGTCACTACGTCAAGTGACGCAGCTACAAGCAACAACACCTCCAGATAATTTAACAGATCCAGACTCTGGACTGACAGGCCGGGGTGGTGGTCCCTCTGTGTAAGAAGAGTCACACTCCTCAGCCTCCCTCCTCCGGTAACGTCTCGGCCAGAGACTGGAGAGGAGAATCCAGCCTGATTCATCAGACGGTTTCACTTCATTTCACTTCGTAGAACCCGTGTGACCTGCATTAGGATGCAAAAATATTGAAATATCGATATATCGTATCGCTTAATCTGATGATGCACTATCGATATTCTGGTCTGCTGTATCGATGATTTTTTTGGACATTATTTAGTTACAGAGCTACAGTTTTGGTGCTTGTTTAGAGGAAGGAAACTTTTTTATGCGACACATTTGACATTTTCAGAGTTTTGATGATTAAAATGTTTGTGTTTCAGTATGAACTTTGCACAAAAAGTGGTTTAACAAAGACTTTTAATATCACAGACATGATTTAGCCTTTATTTTTACTGAACTGTATCAAATCGATTTGAAATATATCATATCGAATCGAAAGCTCACTGTATTGAGATATGTATCGTATCGGCAACTTCTTAATGATACCAGCCCTAGTAGATTTTCTTATTGAACCAGTCGCTGCTGTTTGGTCGTGACGTTTGTAAAGCTCCAAATCCTGTAGGAAGAAGAACAATAACGTCAAATTCACCAAACATTCTCTTTGTTCCGACTTTAAATCCTCGATCTCGGGAATCGTCGCCAACACAGAATGTCTGTCTCTTCTCTGATTGGCTGGTGCCTGAACTCACACTTCTGGAGTTTTTGCGAATCATCTAGTGTTTTCTGATTCCTGACCTAGTCGCTGGAGAGAAATGAAACTGAGCGGAGACACTAGGGGGCGCCAGACTGGTTAGGAAAATCCTCGGATCCAGGAGGAGCCGTGTGGTTTTGGTCCCGGTCGTGCAAGTCTCCATCAGGCGCTCGAGGTTCGTAGGAGTTTGCACAGTCCACATGTTCGACCGTGTTCCTCGTGGTGTCCTGGGGGGGGCGCTCTGGGGCTGTCCGGTCCCTGTACGACCGGAGCGAGTAAGTAGTTTAAGTTTATTTATGCAGCGTTTTTCACAGACTCACTGTCGGTCACAAACTGTTTCACACAAAAGATTAAAAAAAAAACAGCACAAGATTCATTCATAATAAACTGAGTCACAGCAGCTCGAAAACCTGCAGGGAAACGCTCGTTCAAAGAGAAACGTTTTAACCACCAGAACACGGAGAAAGATCTGAGGAGAACGGTTTGGAGAACAGCTCTGGTTTAAGTGTAGATCCTAAAACGAGCCAAAATCCGCTTGACGAAGTTTGAGCGTGTTTCAGTTTGGAGCGGACAGTAAACGAGAGGCAGAGCCCGGCCTCCAGATCTGCCCCATTTCCTCCACAGCACAAGAATGACTGATGTGCTACAAAATGAAAATAGACCGTCGACACACACACGTACACACATGCACACATCACACACACACACGCACACACACATCTCACACACACACGGGCGCACACACACACACATCTCACACACACACGGGCGCGCACACACTTCACACACACGATGCATATTTGATGAGATTAATATTTCACTGCTGTGTGCGACTCTTAAATAAAACATGTCGTCTCCATTGTGTGTTGGGAGGACGAGGGACAAATGGAGGGCAGGTGTGAGGAGACGATCTGATAGGCCCAGGCTCATTTCATCTCCTCATTTTAATTACTACACGTGAGCGTCTCTCCCTGCGTCGGCTCGGCTCCTCGCGCCCGACATCTGACACCCGACATCTGACACCCGACGTCTGACTAACATCTGCAGCTCAACAATACAGAGAAGAAAAGATTTTCTTGAAGCTCCTGGATCAGAAAACACGGCCCCTGCGAGGTTTAAGTCGTGTTTCCTCGTCACAAACAGAGCTGGAGTCGGGTTTGTTTCATTCACACATGTTTGAGTAACTCAGAACCTTTTAAATTCATAACTCGTCCCTCATGAACCTCATGTCTACGTTAGAAAATATGTTAAAATACTTTGGAATATATATTTTTAAAAAATATTCAGTTTTATTCAGTGTTTTTTTTCTTTCACATTATATATGCAAATTTTTCCCCACATAAAATAAATATCAGAGTAAAAGTAGATGGATTACAGGGTAACACTTTATAATAACTACACCTTACTTAGCCTTAATAAAGCATGAACAAAGGCTTAATTAATAACAAACAAAGATTTAATTAATAATGATTCATGCTTAGTAAATGCTTAATAAAGCATCATTTGTCTTCACTTTAGAAAAAGCTCTTAAAAAGACTTAACAGATAACAGCTGCTGAATGATCATTGAATTACATTATTAGTAAATCATTCTCTCATAGTTTACTAATCATTAATAAATGCTCAGATGGTTTAGTTCATGAGTAATTAAGTATGAAATAATTATGAGTAACTATTTACAGCACAGGCAAATTAAGTGCAAGTGTTAATTAAGGTAGTAATTAAGTAGTTACTAAGCCTGAATCATTATTAATTAAGTCTTTATTCATTATTAATTTAGCCTTTGTTCATGCTTTATTAAGGCTAAATAAGGTGTAGTTATTATAAAGTGTTACAGATTACAGATACACTCCGGGTCACGTTATTTTGCAATAAACTGAAATAACCTGAAACATTCTTTACGTCACAGACACTTCTACAGTATTTTTGTGTTTTTTCTGGTTTGTGGAGGTGGAATCCAAAAAGGGTGAATTTCTTGAACTTGAATTTTGAAAATTTGCATTGCTATTTCAGAAATGATAAAATTATTTTCTTGAGTGAATCTTATTTTTCTTGTGTAATGGTTCATGTATTTGTGTCGAGCTGTTTCGGTACAGGACGTTCGGTTTGGTTCATGTTACATTCGGCCTCTCGCGTCCGTGATTGGTTCAGAGTTTCCTGCAGCGCTTTATAGTTAGAGCGACGCCTTCACAACATCTGCCCTCGACTTGACCACGTCCCTCCAAACCAAACTACGATTGTGGTTGTCACTTTCACCTTTCACTGGAAATAAACCACCCAGACCCGCGACCTCTGACCTGAGTGAAAGTTTATTTTTGATTGATTCATTTTTATTTCGAGTTTGTGCCAAGAGAGAAACAATAATCATGTTACTACATCTACATTGTAAACAACAGAAAAGCACATTTGTCGAAAAGGAAGAAGAAAAACTTTGTGAAATCCGATGTTTTTTCGAGGTCGTTCACATTTCCAATTAAATGCGACTTGTCTGTGACTCCAGTGTGAACGGTAAACGGCCCGAAAGTGTCCCACATGTGACACTGGAGACACGATGACGTCAACCCCATGTGTCACCCGCAGCGAG